CGTCTGTACAAACGCTTATCAGAAGCAGTTAGCCCAATGTGCAGATCTGCTCCTAGTCACACCAGGTAGAGAGGTGCAGGCTAATATCTGTGCTACATTGTAGGCCAGATATTAGTTCATAGAGTTCATAAAGCACAGAAACTGTGATTCTGTTATGAAAAATGGCAATTTGCGATTTTTCCGTTGGTGTACACCACAAATCCTCTTTAACATAGGCACACTATCTGGCCCCATGTGTGTTGATATACTTAGAATGTATTTAGCTGATTTAAACTGAAAGTTCATTTGAGCTTTTGCTTGCTCTCCTCAGCTCAAGAATGCCTCTAACCTGTGATGTTCTCATTCATAACTTTTGTTCTTTCACCACTTTTCAATGTATATCACAGGTTCCCATCACATTAACCATCCTCATACAACAAACTTACATACAGGTCTTTGATGTTCTTTGGAGCGTGATTTGCCCTCCCATCTATCATGCTCTTTTCTTAATCTGTACAGTATATCATCACCACTCAGCTCCTTCTACATTTCTAGCTTGGATCCTTCTACAATGTTTATTGTGCTATAGGCGGTGTATGAAAGAAAGTACCCTAAATGAGAAATGAACTGCACTCATCACTCTTTGATATCAATAAGAAAATATATCTGAAAAGTAAAGACCCGTTTAGAACAACATAATTGTTTTTTTCTCTATTTGTTTTTCCCTTGGTTCTTCCCTCTAGGTCTGTGCCTTATGTACCTGTATGGCCAGTGATGGAACTTAATGTGCCTGTGGCCTCTAAAGAATGTCTGCTGTGTCTTTACAACAAATAATAAAGAGACTAGGAGACTAGAATTGTGGAAGGAAGGCGCTTGAACTGTAAAGCCTGACCATCACACCTAAGTGAGCTTGTTGGACATCCCAGTCCAAAACCTTGTGCATTCATATAATGTTGCCCCCATCCCCTTTCCCTTTGCAGCTATAACAGTCTCCACTCTTCAGGGAAGGCTTTCAACAAGATTTTGGAATGTGTATGTGGAATATTGTGCCCATTCAGCCAAAAATAGTATTTGTGAGGTCAGGTGAGAAGACATGGCTCACAAATCAGAATTATTTCCCAAAGATGTTCAGTGGTGTTGTAGTCAGGGCATTGTGGAGGCCACTCAAGTTGCTTGACACAAAATTTGTCAAACCATGTCTTTCTGGATATAGCTTGAAGTGTAGGGGAATAGTCATGCTGAAACTGAAAAGGGTCTTCCTTAAGCTACTTCTTCAAATTATTTATACACCCTGCAGTACTGTTATTACCCTTTACTAGAAACACCTGAACCCAAAATTTGGAAGGACATCCACATGCTTTAGCTCGGTGTGATGGCTGGGTGTCCATAAACCCTTGGCAATAGAACAGTGAGAGGGACCCATCAGACCACACCCACTACAGGATGCCTGCTAAAAACTACAGGAGGGGGCGGAGGCAAGACTAGTCACTCTTCACAAGCAGAGAGAGCAGCAGTGAGCAGACTTTTTTACAGGAAGATCTAAGTTTCACACTGGATTAGTGCACATTTCTGGCAGAAATACACAAAGCACACCAAGATTCAAGAAGAATACACAAACCTCTTAGACAATATTTGCTTATCCCAGAGTCCAGCCTTAAACGGCAGGCAAAGCAAATAGCAAATCGAATTCCCATTGACATGAGCCTTTAATAAAAACGTACTGTGGACTTGCTATCAATCACTGTGCCTTGCTTTTTAACACTACCAGTAATAAAGATTAGGGGTAGACAACCCTAGAGATGTGGAGAACTCCCTGAACAGCATGAAATATATCAAGTACCACCAGGGTGCAGCGACTATTTTTTAAGCTAACCTAGCATGGCCCAATTAAAAAGTGAGGAAGGTTTGAAGAAAATGTTAAAACAATAATATACAAATGTCGCTGTAAATGTAATCTTTTTCTACCTTTTTAGCAATGAGCAAACTTGGCATTCACTTCCATTCACATATTTTAATGTCTGGAGCATAATGTGTCACCTGAAATCTGATACAGGGGTTATGTGCAGTACTGAGTGCAGGAGTAAGAAGTACAAATAACGTGCAGCCCAGCAAACAAAGTGCAGGGCTCAGGAAAATGCAATGCACAGAGTGCACAACATACAAAATGCAGGGATCAGAAGTGAGTAACATACAGGGTGCAGGAGTCAGGAGTACAAGTAATATACAGCCCTTGGAAAAAAGTGCAGGGGTCACGAGTATGCAATGTACATAGTGCAGGAGTCAGGAGTATATACACTCTAGTGCACAGCACCCACTATGATTCATTCCACTAAGGGACATTCCCATAATGAGGCAGTAGCATCTCATTGGGGGAGTGGCAGGTGTGGGGCAGATGGCTGACTAGCACCTCCTTCCACTCAGCTTTCACCACCGCTCCCCCCTTCTCCTGGCCACCTCAGGTGGAGAACAAGGTAGGGATGGCCCTGATTCCAGCCCCTTTATTCATAGCGCAAAGCACCCCCTATAATGAATTTTGACAACACACAAACCCACCAACCTACACACACCCACAAACATATGCACACTCACACCCACACACTCACACCCACATACATATAATCACATACATACACTCATATATTTACATGTACACTATCACACTCACCAGCAGTTACTTATCGTTTTTACTTAAGTCCGCCTGCTGGCATGGTTGCCTGTCCCTCCAGTCCCTTCAGTTCCTTGTCCCCACTCCTGCTGGTGGGAAAGCATGGAGGCAGCGGTGCTCAGGAGGAGTGACATGATGGGCTGTGGCCTGTTTAAGGCCGCCCTCTTTCGGTGTGTACAGAACTGTGGCTGTCGCGAAGCAGCATGTTGGTGGCACCAGGGGCACCAGGCAAGGGAATGACCCAATCTCCTCGCCCATTACAGGCAAATTGACAATCCACCCTTCAACGCACTTATACTCACCTTCATAGTGCTTAGCTGCTGCTCCTGCCTTTGCCATAGCTGCTAGTAAATACCCGGTGCTTCCAGGTATAAGAGAAGCATGTGACCTCCTCGTATAATGCAGTGCACAAGCCTAGCAGCCTTTTTGTTGAAAATTTGCATTTGTTTATAAATAGACCCTTATGTTTACCATAGAGGTTAATGGGAATCAAACCACAAACATGCTGAACGCACAACTGTGAAGTGCAGCAGATGTCAAGCTCCATCTCTAAATGCGAAATCTTAAGATAGTCACATGCTGTTGTTTTTTATTTTTTTTAATATTTGTGTTTAAAAAAAAAAATACATATATTTCTTTTTTATATTTTTTATGCTAAACAGTGTAAATTGAAGAATCTCGATCTGGGCTGTTTTGGATTTTCTGATTGAAGGATGCCTGATGGAAGGGTGGCGCAAGGGTCACCCACTGAATGATTTTCGGACGAACATCAAGAACCGGCCAAAATGTGTACAGTGTATGGCCAGCTTTAGACTCAGAATTATTATGATTTTGTCACCCCCCTGCTGAGTCAGAGCTACAGCGTTCCAATCAGCAGGGAGCATGAGCTTTGTCAGATCTCTGCAGAGTGACCACTGTTTCGACACAGAAAGCAAGGATTCTTCTTTGCAGCATGCTGGCTGGGGGCAGGCTGTCCTGCTTAGGCTGTGACTTCTCTCTAAAGCAACAAACTAAAACTTTGTACAGCTTTTGTTTTAATGCACCTGTAATGTGATTAGCTGGGCTTTGATAAAAAATAAGACCCTAAGAGCATGCATTGAGGGTAATGGCTTTCCTAAATTTCAACACAGCCCTCTTGGCCTTGTGGGATCTGGCATAGACAACGACTAAGGAGGAAAAGTAGTAATGACTGCAGTCAGTACGGTTTAATGCTTAGGGACAGTCTGCTTTATAGTAGATGGTAAGAGTACAAAGTCTTTACATAACATAGGAAGTTCCTGTAAATCCTCTGCCTGGAATAAAGTCTGCAGCTAACAGCATTCCATAAATCAGCAGTCTAGTGCCCAGAAAGGAGAGAAGCTCAGTGCTGGCAAATAATATTTTATATTTAATCTCTGTAAAATGAAATTAAATGAATTGTCTCAATGATCGCCATTTGCACAGATTTGTTTTTCTTTATCATAAGTCCCTAAGATTTTGTATGATTGGATACCCATTACATGCCAAGCACATAACAGCCTGAGGTGGGGCCCACTATAACTGGTGTACAAGTAAATCAAAGAGAGTAGAATACTAAATAAACCAACCCCTGGAATACACTACCATAGGTTCCCCAGCTGCTGTGCCTGTAAGGCTGTGGGCTTAATTTGAATCTGTGCTTTGCCCATTATATACAATTTGATGGGTTACAATGCACTGATATGTCTTTCTCAGCATGTAAGGAGCACAATAACAAAACAGGTACAATAGCTGTCTACTGGAAGAGAAAATAACTAATTTTATAGTGGGCAATTCAATACCTGAAAGTGTACTTCCACTTTCCCAGCCAAATTGGGATAACACCTAGCTTAGTTTTGTTACATGCTTCCATTCACATACTATAAGCTAAAAAAATGCTTCTTGCAGTTAATATTGGTTTTACTTGGGTTAGCATTTATTAGCTTCTTAAGGGATACAATTTCTACTTGGCTTTTGCTTCTTTGTAATGTTAGGAGGGGTTTGCACTGTATGTTAATGAAGTTTATGAGAGAAACACAATCCACAAATTTCCATCCTAAGTCTTTCTATAAGTCACTGTGAGGGTGCTGAGAAAAACCTGAATTCAGCTATGTTGTCTGCTGCAACAAAACAGCTAAAAGGTAAAAAATATATATTTTTTATTTTCATTATGCTGTGTGAAGACATAACAAACATAAGTGGAAATACACCTTAACAGCACCATGCCAATATATACAGAAATACTGCCACAAAGCAAGTGAAAGTCATTCTTCCATTATATTCATTTGACATTAGACAGATGTAAGTGTTTAAACTCCTTGCTTACTGCTTCAAAAGTGAAATGTTTAGAGGATCATACCTTCCTCCAGGATCTGGTTCTCACTTTCCGACTTTGGATTTTTGGCAGTTTTTCTCTTCTTTTCCAAATCCCTAACTAGAACCCAAAGAAAAACACATAATGAGAAATGATAGAATTAGCAGAAGAATTACAATATTTTCTGCCCGTAAAGTGGAACATGAGAGACATGACAAATTCCTACTGAACAGAAGCATGTGGAAGCCAAAGCCAATTAGAAAACAAGTCTGCAAAGATTCTGTCCCTTTTGAGGTATCCGTCTCATGAATTGGTTTTACTCAAGATATAAAATAAACCATTGTCACTTTATATGCCGTTCATAGGCAATTGCCTGGGAACTGTTTACTTTTATCCTGGGGGCTTTCTGCTTTATGCTCATTGGGCCAGAAGAGCATTTGGGAGGTCAGATAATTAGCATTGGATTAGAAGAAAAAAGGATTGGTGGTGCGCGGGTCCTGAATGAGGTGCCAACCCCTAGTTAATTATAATAAATGAATGTCATATTCCAACTCATAATCTAACCACAACAGATATATGCCTATGTATATATATATATATATATATATATAGATGACGAGGATCCTCAGATGTATCATATTAAGCATCATGTCTACTGTCTCCTTACATACCATCTGATCAAAGAAGTGTTATATACACCATAAACCATTTTACACAAGTGATCCCTTGTATCATGTCAATATTGTATCTCGGTACAATTGATGAATTACTATGTTGACCCCTCTATATCAGTATTAATAGTTTGGGTTGGTTTGTTTAATTAGATTGATGTTCTAGTATTTATATCATGTTTTTTGTATGATCTTTAGACCTCCTCCTCCTGATGAAGCTCCCCGCGGCGCGAGACGCGTTGAGCACAATAATGCAAGTATGGCATCTCCAATTAGCTCTGCAAGTACTACACTACGACACACCAAATGTGTTTCCATTATAGGTTTTCGGTTATTTCAGCCTATGGATGAAATGTTCTTTATTGTTTGTATCCAATTTTGAACTCCCTAATCATGTGTATAATTATTATCTAATCATGTTCTATTACCTCATATATGGAACCTAGTGGGTGCAAGGAGGTTCCCATCTAATCATGCATTGTTTTATTTCTATGTATCACACTGATGATTTTTAACTTTTCCACCAAATTAAAAATATATTTTTATACTACATAGTTGTTTGAAGTTCATTGGCACTTGTCAATTGGTGCCCAAAACCCCAACTTCTCTTTCTATTCTTTATTATTGGATTAGAAGACCTGGCTTGTAATGGGCGTTCCAATTCATCCCAAAGGTGCTCAGTAGAATTGAGATAAAGGACCTATGGAGGCCACTCAAGTTCTTCCACACCAAACTCATCAAAACGTCTCCGAGCTGGCTTTCAACACAGGGCCACAGTCATGCTTGAGATCAAGGCTCTGTGCAGGCCACTCAAGGAGATTTTCTTCTCTCCTTCCTTTTCTTTCCTAGCAAAGTTTTTTCCTCCTTGCCACAAGCTATTTATAAACCATGCTGGCACCCTTCCAAAATACTTCAAGGTGCTTTCAGCTATGGGAGAGCACACGTCCTTCCAAAATACAGTGTCTGGGCTTGAGGGGTCAATCACCAAGTCTGAATATTATCATGTAAAGAGAAGGTGGGTGTCATCAAATCTATGTGAGCTCAGACACTAAGCTTATACGGGGTTTGGACACTGAGTGATGGAGCAGTGCAGACAAGTATATGTAGGTCATGGAGTGGGCTTTCAAGAAACTCTGCCACTCTGTTCCGGCCAGAGCGTCCCAAGTTGTTAAGAGCTTTTAGCAACCTGTGACGCTCTGACCAGCGACCTGCCCAGCTCACTGACATCACTGGTTGCCCGGAGCTGAGCGGGATGCTTTGGCTGGTGTCCCACCAAGCTCTTGGCAATAAACCAAACAAACATGCACCCCTTCCCCCAGACCATGCACCACCAGCAAACCCCCAACCCCATACCCCACCATTCTCAGGTAGAGAAAGCTCTAGGGACACCCCTGGGTGTGCTGGTCAGCTGTCCAAAATTTCCTCCATAATATTATATATGACCTAATGGTGCTGCAGATAGGATTGTGTCTGATGAGTTTGACTTTGATTGGCTGATGTGAGGCAGTACAGACTGTCCCTTATTAAACACTTTAGTTAATGAAGCCCCTTGAGCTCCTAGTCACACACGTTAATCAGCTATTGGTGCCCGTCACAGTTACGTACTTCTAAACTCTCCACGAACTGGCTTGCTTTCATCATCTTCATTAAAGGCAATGATCTGTACATTGTAACTCCGGTCAGGATCAAGTCTTTGAATGATGGCTCTGGTGGCGTTGTTTTTAAGATTTAGCTGGTTGGTTTTCCCACCTGAACATGAGAAGACATTGAGTCAGACATCTTTCATCATGGCAGAATATTGCAAATACATTAGGAAAATGCTCATTATTCCGATCATTCTTCACAAAAGCGGCTAAAGTTAATATCGGGGTCATGAGCCAACCTTCATCACAATGTTACTTTATTCAGATTCATTTTAATCTGCTGGGCTCTTCAGCTGGTAAAAAAAAACTCCCCCTTTAAACCCACTTTCTATAACCCTCCATCAAAACAGTGGTTAATCACACAAATCTGTTTGTCATTTGTCATATAAAACCCACATTAAGTACAATGTACAAGATTTATTCTGATTGGCTGCGGGTCATAAACAGCAGTACGAGTATGCAGTATGTTAAAGTGGACTTTGCATCAGATATATTTTTTTAAGTGTTGTGGTATTCCCCCTGACAATGCCGTTATCTGCTTTTCTCTCCTGAAAGAAGGCATCATCTTTGTTCTGTCATCATCCAAGGTCACCCTCTACTTCCTGGACTGAGATGTTGACTCAGATGACACAGTCCATGGAGCCAATGCAGTTCTTGGTTGTGTTCACAAATGTTGGACACAGATCTGAAGCCTCTCACCTTGTACATATTTACAATGTAGCAGTGTGATCACTGGAGGAGAGGAGCCTGAGGAAATGCTTCCACCTGTCTGCAGCAGACTGCTCACTAGGGGAGAGGAGACTGAGGAAGTGCTTCCACCCGTCTGCAGCAGACTGCTCACTAGGGGAGAGGAGACTGAGGAAATGCTTCCTCCTGCCGGCAGCAGACTGATGACATCATCTCAGCCTAGGCAAAGTCACTGGACTGTATCTCAGGAAATGCTTTATAATGAAAAAAGGTAGGATTTTTGACATGTCAGGAACTAATACTGCAGACTTGAAAAGTTACTGAAAGGTGAAAGGTCCACTTTAACTCAGGGAACTTGTTATCACATACGCTTTAACTCAGAGAACTTGTTATCACATACGCTTTAACTCAGGGAACTTGTTATCACATACGCTTTAACTCAGGGAACTTGTTATCACATACGCTTTAACTCAGGGAACTTGTTATCACATACGCTGTCCATAGAGCTGATCCAGGTTTTCATACAACTGGCCAAGTTTTGTTTTAACAAAATGAAAAACACATTGAACATTCCCTCTGAAAAAGCTACTAGAGTGACACAACTGGCAGACTAACTGGCCAATGCTTTTGTGATGAGGGCATGTATTGTTCTGATACAGAAAAACATAAAAAAATGTTTTTAAAAAGGAACTCTGGGCTCTTGCAGTGGTGCTACCCATAAGTGCCCATTTTTGTCTTGGTACAAAAATAACAAAGTTATACTCACCTGAACCTCAGAGCCCGCATCCCCGCGTCCTATACACAGCGTATAGGATGTGAGCACTCACGGGACCTTACACCGCTGCAGCTGTGTTGCTTCAACAAAGCTATGCAGCCTGAAAAATCTTCTGCATCAGACATGTCCGGGAGTGTTGCACGCCTGCCCCCGCGCATGTTGTAGTTCCTTTTGCTGGCGATACATCACTATTGGACACAGTAGTAATAAAGGGTTCAGCGGAAGGAGTCATAGAGTGCAGCAGGAAGACATAAGCTACTCCTATATGTCCAATGCAGATGATTTTTCATCCAGTGGCATCTCATTGACAAGTCCAAGATTGGCTGCTTGAGGGATGTGACAAGTAACTATTAAACATTTTATTTACCGTCTGACAATATTTACAAAAATGTCATCTAGAGGTAGGGTTGCTCTAATGTCATCCAGAGTCAGGGTTGCTCTAATGTAATCCAGAGGTAGGGTTGCTCTAATGTCAACCAGAGGCAGGGTTGCTCTGATGTCATCCAGAGGCAGGGTTGCTCTAATATCATCCAGAGGTAGGGTTGCTCTAATGTCATCCAGAGGCAGGGTTGCTCTAATGTCATCCAGAGGTAGGGTTGCTCTAATGTCATCCAGAGGCAGGGTTGCTCTAATGTCATCCAGAGGTATGGTTGCTCTAACTTATCTAAATTCCAATGACCAGTTTGGTGCAGAAGGAGACAACTGAAACTTCTAGAAAAGGCATTTACTAATTAATTTGGTATATTTAGCTTTGGGGCTACAAATATCTGTAGCAGTCAGCGAGGTCCCTACACTTTTCAGTGCCCGAGGCAGCGCAGGGGGGGGTTCTGATGGTGCACATAAAAGGGGAGGCATATGGTGGCGCGCATGTGAGGGTGGCCGGGGGGGGAGGCAGAGGTGCACAGTAACTTTGTCTAGCGTCCCTGCCCAGGTCACTGACATCACTGGTTGGCATGATCTCGGTGGGATGCTCATCTCCTGGTAATCAGTGATGTCAGTGAGCTGCATAGGGTACCGGGCAGAGCGTCCCAGGTTTCTAAGAGCTCTTACTGTAGCAAGCTAGGACACGCTGGCCAGAAAGGGGGCGGCTGGCGTACCTGGCACACCGGCTGCCCCCTCTTTCCATGTGACCCAAGGAGATGCTGCCTGAGGCAATTACCTCGCTGCCTCATTATAGGCCCTGGAAGCATTCAAAGCGGCTATAAAGAAAAGTGAGACGTTCTTACAGGCAGATAGTAGATAAATGATCTTAGAGCGCTGCCTATGTCTCAAAAAGAAACAAAGATACAGTAAATGAACCAAGACGGACATTAAACCGAAAAGGGGACTCTTTAAAAATATGATGTAATCTCTGTTTACACCTCATGCCAGCTGCTCATGATTTCTGACCAGGCAGTTTGTGAACAATGAACAATGAGCATCCCACCCCAGAAATGTGTTTGGGCAGTAAATGTGGATGTTAATGTGCAAAAACAACATAAACTGAAATAAACTAAAGTTATTTCTATAACCAGAAGGGTCATAAGCTACAAGCTTGGGGATTGGGGCTGAATTACAGAAACTGGAACAAACAAAAGGTACAACTGATGCCAGAACGAAGCCGAAATCTAGGTTTATATGAAATAAGCAAACATGGCTGCCTGCACATATATACTTACAATCTATACACTAACACACATTTCTTTAAAACATTGATAAATAGAATATTAACAATGGTGAAAAGATGTGAAAAGTGTGAAAAGTAGGCAGAAGGAAAGTTAGGGGTGTCCACTGCCTTGCATACTGTGTCTGATTAGTGATCCTTAAAGGTGATGCTTATACATTATTATAAGGAGGAAACACTCAACTAGTATCTGCAGGTCTGTAGCAGTAAACCATGCACAAGACAGGGACACCCAGGGACAGTCCAAGCAGGTTTGCCCTGTACTTTTATTCAGCAAGATAGCAAACAAATACAGCTCAATGCAGGAGGGCTTTGTACAGCAAGTCCATAGCATAAAGCAAACAAGACATTTGCTCGTCCCAGCTATGACTGAAACTAAGGTCAGCTCCTGACCTATAATGGGTACCCCCCCTCCCAAAAAACAGACAGCTCTTGTACCGTTTTAGTGTTCTGTCAGCAATCAGCCTTTTCACCCAGCAGCAGGCTTCCACAGTAGAGGGGGAGAGCCCTGAGCATCCGTCAGCTCACATTTATAAAAGCCTGTGGACAGCTAAGACTAATAATGAGGTCTAGCTATCCGGTAAGAAGAGGACCTAGGAATGGAGGCTTTATATTAGAAAGCCTCCAAGTTCCAGGATCCAGAACAGAACTTATTAAGATTCAGAGAAAACAAAAAAAGTTTGTTTTCTACACACCCTGGCACCTCTCACTATGTGTAGGTGAGAAACCTAGATGTCCCATACACACCCCAATCCTGCCAGCCAGTGCCTCAAAATAAATACAATTGTTTTACAAATTAACATTTAGTACATGTCAAAGGGTTCCCAGAGCATCATGGGTGAGCCAAAGAGACAGCACAGCAGAGCAGCTTGTTTTGCAGGTCTGTTAGTCTAATTAAAACCAGTATGAAAAATGATCATCAGTGGGGGAACAGGCAGTAATGAAAACCTAACAGAAGGTATAACTAATCCTTCCTCACTCTGTGCAAAATGAAAAGATTTTGGCTGGAGTCTTGACTTTAAAAAAGGATCATGGATTTCCTTCAAGAGTATGAGATGTTTCAGCCATTTTCCACCCAGTCCCTTCTGTGAAGAACAAAGGCCTGTTCGTTTGCAGATTTCTCTTTGCCTTATGACCACAATCACAATGCCATCCTACCAGGTCATTCAGACAATGTGGGAAATTACGCCTGCACTCTCTGCCCTGCCTGTAGCTCAGGCACAAGTGACATAGAATTGCCAGTCACTGTATCTAGAAGTTATGTATGATGTTATGGGACAAATATGATTTGTTCATTGACTGAGTATGAATGAAATTCCTGAATTCCATTTTTTCTCTTAAATTAGACTAAAGGAAAGGGCGTAATAACCATCCAGAATATATGTCCATTCTGAGAATAGCCAAAGCTCTTCCTGCAGACCGAGTGCTGAGAGAATTTGCTAGCTGTTCATGTACAGAACTTGTTTTTTCCTTGCCAGAGCGTATCAGTTAAGGTTGGGTCTCCTCTGTATGGTATTATAGATGTTTCTGTCTAGCTTTATGGATAGAAAACAGAAGAGCAACAAAATGGTCCATAAAAAAAGATTAACATTTGTGTTGATCAAACATCCAACGCGTTAAGGGGGGCAGACACAACACCCTTTTTTAGGGCTGGAAACAATGAGAATGAAGGAACTGGCCAATCACTGCTTACAATCCACAAATTTTAGGAGAACTAACCATAGTGCCATTGTTGGCACCCTTTCAACCATCATCCCTCGATCAGCTAATCGAAAGAGCCGGTCGGAAAATATGCGAATGAACAAAGCTGGCAGCCAGTGAGCAAAGCGGGAGATTCCTTGGTCAGCGCTCATAAGTGTTGATGGAGGAATCGGTTTTATTTTTCTCATTCAGCCCATGGGTTGAATGAAAAAAAATAGAATAGTGTATGCCCAGCTTTAGTCCCTGTTCACACCTAGATGTTGTGTCGCTCAAAGGTAAGCGCCACATAACGTTCAAGTCAAGGAATCCTACTCATTGATATGGCCCCTGTTCACTAGATATGAGCATTCGGATTCGGACAAACCTGCAAATCATCGAAAATCAGTTGATTTGGCGTTTCATCTGAATCCAAAATAACAAATTATCTGCCTAAATATACTAACACTATATTGGGTCATACATAAAATCATTTTCAGAACACGCGGCGGCCGTTCTGCGCATATCCGCTGCCATCTTGGAAGTGGAGCGAATGAGGTCACATGATGGTGATATCACACTCTACATGAGCGGGGGCCATATCGGCCGCCGGCGCGTTCTGCCCATGCGCGCTGCCATTTTGGAGTATACCTTGGTATACACCAAAAAGGCAGTGCTGGAACATGCGGGGGCCGCCATCTTGGTGCATAACAAGATACACTCCAAGATGGCGGCCCGCTTGAGCAGAACGCATCGGTGGCCGATATAGCCGCTGCTTATTCTGCAGTTTCGGATTTGGAGGCTAGTTGCCTCCGAATCCAAAACATCATAAAGTGAGTTTCCTTTAACGAAACTAATGAAAATGTTTTTCGTATTCATTTGTTTAGCTCAGAAACATTTTTTTTTGCCGTGCACATGTCTACTGTTCACAGCTAAGCGCTTTGTAGCAAGCAGAAAAACGCCTGTTTCTGCAAAAAAGTACATTAGCTACTTCTTGGCAGATTACAGTGTTTTTGGGTCCCATAGACTTCGAAGGAAAGCTTCATGCGACAAAATGCTCAGGTGTGAACAGGGGCCATAGAAATGAATGGGATTCCTTGTCTTGAACGTTTTGTTGCGTTTACCTTTAAGAGACAAAACGCCTAGATGTGAATGGAGTTTGCTGCAATGACATTGATAGATAGAACTGAGAGTTTGCAATAATATAGTTTCATCATCTGATTAAAATTTCAAATATTTGTGTAAATATACAACAGACTATTGTACTAATGCAATAACACATAATAATAACAACAACAACAGTATAACATAATAAAAACAAGATCATTAGATTCCCCAAATGCTTTATCAATTGTTACAATATTCCATTCTGAGGTCACATGTAAATAATGCTGCGGTTACCTGATTTTGGTGTCACAAGAAGTTTATATCCTCTAATTCTATCTTTGGATGCTTTCCATGAAATCTGCACACTGTCTTGTGACACAACATGAAATCTTAGTTTTGTGGGCGGCGTCACTGCAAAGAGGGAGAGAAACAAAAAGTCCTTAAACTGGAAAATATGCCCTGAGAATCTTCTGACATACATCAGACAGCCATGGAGAGTGACAGAGCCCAGGCTTTATGGGTTACTTGTAATACCCCTCACATAACAGAAATACATTCCCGCATGACATACCATTTACAGAGGCTTGTAAACTTACAATGAGACAAGACAAGTCATGTTAGGGGTTAGAAAACTAGCAAGCAACACTGAGAACACAAACTAATGGGGTTTACCAGAGTTATAGTATGAGTTTATGGTAAAAAAAAAATGCTTCCATTAAAGATTAGTTACGGTCAAGGACAGGACCTGCAAACTTGTCATGGGGGTAGCAGAGGGGCTGCTACGGTTGACCCCTTGAAGACCTCCTAAAGATTCTAGTTTCTGGGCTGTCTTTGGTTTCACTCATTTTACAATCACTAACCCATATCAAAAAGATCAGGATAGAAGTCCTCATCCACATGATTGTTCTGGGTCAGTGACTCAAATTAAAGAAGAGGGCCAGGCAACTTGTATTTCCAGAATAAGAAGTCAGCAAGGGCTGTCTCCGTGAATGGAATGATGCACCACAAATCTCTCAAACCAGTATGTATGTATGTATGTATTCAAGTAGATGAGCAAAGTGTGATTTGCCGATCTGTTCTGAATCACAAATCATTTCATCAGTGACTGGGAGATGAGTATATTTATATTCAATTATGTTGTTCTAAGGTATAGTTACTGTGGTGCAGCATTGGTAAACCCATAAGCATTGGGAAGGCATGATATATAATACAGATTCATGAAGTCCTGTCCAAGGACTCTTCCAGAGATGTTCCAGCACATCTGGAACTCCTCTTTTACTCTCTGAAAACAGCTCAGGAGTCTGAGTCAGAAAATCCTGTTAATCTCCACTGGTGGGCGGATCTAGTGAAGGTCCATCTTCGAGATGAATTAGAGGCTTCTTTCAAAGGAATGTCTATTTTCTTATTGCTTTAAAGAGATCCCGTGGTCACTCAAGCCCCCTAGTGCTTCACTACTGGTTAATGATGCAAAGCCTCAATGACCAACAATAATACACCAGAGACAAGACTGGGACGGGCATGATTTCAGTGTCAGGAGTTTGGCACAGGTAGCATTAGGTGTGGGAACTGCATGAATGTACCATGGATATTTCAGCCCTCCGTAAGGTAAGTCTGTCTGTTTGGAGGTTAAGGTTAGTGTTGGGTTACGATTAGGGTGAGGATTAGGGTTTATGAGGTTTAGGGGCTAGGTTAAGGTTAAGTCTCAATGATTCATTTTAAGAATTCAAGAGCTAAGTGTTGGGGTCAAATTAAGATTTAAGGGCTAGGCAGAGGGTTAGGTTTAATAGTTATGAATGACGTTATGGGGTTTATTTACTAAAAACAAACAGACTGTTTACTTTGCAAGTTAACTTTCAGTTTGCAAGAGAATTTTCCCTTAGCTTAGTAAATTATGTGAAAATTCACTCTGCAAGGAATACCCAATCATGTGCATTTTTGCTTGCACAAGATTGGATGATAAGAGTCAGTGGAGCTTTGCCTTATTCACTAAGCTAAGGGAAAATCCCCTTGTAAAGTAAACAGTCTATTTGTCTTCAGTACATCAACCCCTGTGTATTCAGGGTTAACTTTGGGAATAAATTAAGTGTTGCCAGACCTGCCCCAATAATGAGATATTTGGCTTTTCTATTATTCTGTGTCAGTTGCCATTGAAAAAAGCAACTAAATCACAGTCAGTAGATTATTTTTATTTTTTTCCCCATGGAGTGAATAAAGGACAAATTCACTTTTGAAGAAGAGATAGCAGGGAAGTTTTCGGGAGAAAGGCTAAATGGTACCAGGCAGGGTTACCCAGTGAAGATTGCTGGAACAGGGAGGGAGGTAAGTATTTAACATGGCAGGATGTACTCAGGGGGGTGAGCAAATTAAAGGACACGTTCACTCAAGGTGAAGCTTCTTATACATACAGTAAGCCAGTTTAACAAAATTCTGTTATTTATGTTTAGTGGCATTAATGTGTTACCGCTTATTTTAGTTATTTTAAATCATTATTAACGCTTATGATAATATTAGCTTACTTAGCTAGTCAATTTGCCAGGTAATTAAAGCTAATTCTATAAAACATACAGGAATTTTGTTTTTCAAGTTTGGCTGTGCAAATTTTGAATCAGGCAAGATACAACAGGAATGATGTGCAACATTAAGACATCAGCGGAATAGTGAACTTGGCTCACAACATTCAATACATGTGTAAGGTGGTAGGAATTGCTGGGGGAAATGATCCATTATTAATAGCTGCAAGGCTGACCATGGCATGTGTTAATGAATCCACATAGTTTTCATTTCCACTTGCAAGATCAAACACATCGTACAGCCGTTGCATGTTGAGTTTGCAATCCACAAAGAATTACATTTGAAAAAGAATACCTGCACATTAAAAGTATTCAGGGTAACCACACCTAAAATTGATTCTTCAGTTTTGGGTCGGTTTCAGCAGCGTCGATCACCTGGTGACATGCAGAAATTCTCTGGGACCCCCAACAGCATGATATACTGTATGGCCAAATGTTTGTGGAAATCACGCCTATATGAGCTTGTTGGACATCGCATTGTGAAAACTTGGGCATTAATATGGAGTTGCCCACCACCTACCCTCTCCCCTTTGTAGCTAAAACATCCTCCACTCTTCTGAGAAGGTTTTTTTTTGAGTGTGTGTGAATTTGTGCCCATTTGCCCAAAAGAGCATTTGTGAGGTCAGGTATTTTATGCTAGATGAGAAGGAAATTGGCAATCCAATTCATCCCAAAGGTGATAAATAGGATTGAGGACAGGGCTCCACTGAAGTGGACCCTCAGCATTGGGACCAGTGTGGGTTGCTGTGATGGAGCTCCATCCATATGTGCATTGGTTGCACAGCTCCCTTGCGTGCCCTGTAGAGGTGTCGTGAACCAGAATGTGACGTCACTCCAGTCTAGGCACCTCTACAGGGCACGTGAAGGAGCTGTAGGCGATGTACGTATGGATGAACCTCCATCGCGGCCATAACATACCAGCCCACCCCACCTCAAGCTGATACTTGGCGCCAGGCAGCATGTTTTAAATGGCTGCTCGGTGAGAGAACTGACACTGCTGCGCTAGGGGGGAGGCTGCACACGGCGATCCACTGAACATGGGGTCGCGACCTACTTTTGGGTCACGACCCACCAGTTGAGAACCACGGCTTTAAATGCTAAGATTTCTGCAGGTACGTGTATTATGTTCTATATTCATTTGTTATCTGCTTAGTTAGTCCCTACAATCCAGGCCACTGAATAGACAACTGGATTAAATAAATGTATAGCTTAGCCCCCAACCATCCCTAAACCAGTAAAATCTGTGTTATTGATCGCTAATCGCAGAGCACACCCAGCTTTCAGGATGGGATTATGGAACGTGCCATAGCTACCTGAACCATTTTGTAGAAGCTGCACCAAGCAAAATGGTTACTTTACTAATGGTTCTTCAAACCCTAAAAGAAGGGTGCTTTAAGATTAAGGCAGATGCTGTGGTCATATCCCTGCACTTGCATCTCAGCCCACCAGCTGATATACAGGCTACTAATGCTACCTTTTGATTTCCTTATGTATCAGAAGTGAAACTCCATTCTATGGAGGAAGAACCGAAAACCTCATTGCTGGGGTTCTCCATAGATCTAGTAAACCAGTGGGTAAGTCAGACCATCTTACTCCATTTATAACCACAAAATGCTATTTGTTGTGAGTTGACAGACCCTTCATCACAAAGCTTGAAGCAGGATAGCAAGTATAAGCCAATTCTCTAACCCTGTTCCTTTATATAATTTTTTTAATATTTATAAATATGTGTTTTCACAATTAAGACATACTTTATACCTATGTACAATTCTAAAAAAATCAACAAGTGTAAAAAAATAAATAAACACAACACAAAATTATGGTATAACAATACAAAAATTATCACCATCACCAACAAAGAAAAACCCATTGCCCATCACAGTTGACCACATCCACCCTTTTGAACGGAGACATTTTGACGTTTTGAAGACACAATGAATACTACAGCTGTATGTATACATTCCACTACAGAATATGTGCCAGCAGTTCAACATAACTCATGTAGTTGCAAAAACTTTGCAAGAATTTGCCTTATTTATATATATATATAAATAAGTTGGACCATATGCTACAAAACCAGTCATAGTCCAATCATCAATCTTAACGTGTTTTGTTATTTAAAATATCAATTTAAAATGTATAGAAAAAATATATCAAGTACACTTTAACATCACTTTGTTTATGAGCAGGTTTAAATAATAATAATCATAATCATAATAAAAATAACATTTTCTATAGGTTTTTTATTTAAATATTTTGTTTAAATATGCATATATCTATATATGTTTTAAGTTATGTAAAAAACTGCATGAATGGCACATAAAACACACAGCTAACATGGATAGCTACACATAAACATAACTTGGAATACTATAGAGCCACCAACCTGCGCTTAAAGCCTTTATATCAGAGTTCACTTAGTTTCTGTGGAGCAAAAGCTATTTTCTTATGGTAAAATAAAATTAAAACGAGGCAAAAAATAAATATAAATAAAAAAAACATAAAGCCAGCATAAATAAATGAAGCATCATAAGATAAAGCTAAACTAAAACAAAGACTAAAAATAATAAAAATATAACGTAATATACAAGAAAAATTAAATTATGTTCATATGTCAAATACATTTAAAAGGCACATGTTATTAAACATTCACAATAACAATGAAATAAACAACACAGTAAAATTGCAACCAAAAGATCAAATAAAAAGAGATCAGAATTTTTTACTTGACCCTAATAGCTCACAACATGGATTGTCGAGTGCATAGAGGCTGATTTACTAAAGCATTTGAGAATAATCACACTATAAATTGTGTGAATATTCACTTTAATTATCCAATCA